GCTCTAGAACTTTTCAAGAGGGTATCAGAACTGCAAAAAAAATGTCACAGTTCGGGGTTATTGACTTCATTAGTTATAACTTCCATGTGGAAAATTATAACGTTGTTATGTAACGCCACTGCTCCTTGAAGTTTAGTGAATAAAGTTATCGTTAGACTAATACCCATTTCTACCAACTTTGGTTAACTTAACCGGCTGGTTATTCCAGTAGAATTAACCAATCGCACCTGTAAATTCTGACTAATAATAAATGTGATTAGTCAATTCTGTTGGAATAACCAACTGGTTAAGTTAACCAAAGTTAGTAGAAATGGACGATACAAGCACAAATTATCCAGTTAAAATCGCATTCACACTGGAGACCGATGACTGTAAGATAAAAATACCAATTCCTGGATACCTAATTCTAAATATTCTTACTGTACTTTTGATCTTTAAGTACAAATAAAATTTCAACATGGAATGTATGTATATACTCAACACTTATATATATTTTTTGTGTTAAAAGTTCAATAAAATATTTGTACTTAAAGACCAAAATAAAAAGAACCTGATCCAGGATCAGGTACGTGTCTGAGCATTGGTACTTTGGCTTTAAAGAACCCTCTACTTTCTGCGGCCGGAATACATAAACATTTCGCCCGTAAGCGCGGCTAATTTCAGGTGAAACTTACGTCATTAAGCACAGCCATTTGTTTGGACGTCGCGCTGCAAACTGAAAGCTTACCATGTCGAGAATCTTATCCTTAAGACTATAACTCCGCAATGAATTACCTTATTAAGAGAGCCAATAAATCCTAATAATCTTAAAGAATAGCTACGAACGGGACTATTGTCCGCGAGCACAATAGCTGTGCTTACTCCGTGCGCTCGCGAACGTGGTTTCCTCAAAACAAAGAGTCTCGACAGAGGGATCGACGAGGGTCCTTCAATTCCGCACATTTGCGGAAAATTCGTTACAGTTGAATCCGAGTCCGGGTCGTGCGACGCGCGGATGGACTGGGGTTCGTCGTGGCGGTGCAACTCTTTCTATTCTGCTGCCTAGCTGCCTGATCGATACCATCGATAATCCAAAAGTAGCATCGACGCATCTCGCGAAACCGCTCGTGCGGCATCCCGCGAAAAATCTCGAAGATGGGGGGAACGAAGGACTCTTATTATAACTTACAATCGCGCAGCATCGTGCTGCCATTGTCGGGATCAATGCAGCGGGGTTGAAGTTACAACGGGAGACTTTTATTAGCGGCTTAACGCCGCGCGACTGACTCGAGCTGGGTAGCAAATAATACAATAATTGACGCGATATTACTGTCATCCCGCTTCTACTGGATGACTAATGGGCGAGCGGCAACGAGCATTTACTTCTCGCGGATTGTACGGTATGTTTAAATGTGACTATTAAAAGGAGAAATTGCACGAACATTTCTGAGCGAATTGGACGCGATGCATCTGCAGCGGGCCCGAATATTTAAAATGTGACCGCGATGAGGAAATTTTCATTATCAAAATTGAAGTGGTTTCCAATGACTTTCATTGCGTGTGTATCGATCCGACTCGCAAATTCTTATCCCGACGATTGCGATATCTTTATTATACTGAAAGAAGAAAATGGTTGGTCTAACCAAAATTATAGTTATTTTTTATCTCACCAAAAAGTACGGTGGAATATCCCATCGTACTTTTCGGTTGTTTTAACATGAAAATGACAGTAGTGACATGCATATAAAGTTAGCATTATAATAGAATTTAAATAGAATTTAATAAGAAAATAGTTTTCTTGATCATAATGTGCAATAATTCCTTCTCTACGTGATTACAGTTATAAGTATCAAATCTTTCTTCCTCAGCATATATTGCAAGTCCAAGTGTTATTTTTAAACGCATAAACGTGTAATTTGGCTGAAACTCTTTTCACATATTTTTTATCATTTTGAGTAATGTCATTTAACATGTTTAAGACACGTATAAGTCATAATTTAATACATTTAAACATGAGTTTTCACCTAAAACGATAAGAAATGTAAAAAGAGATTCAGTCAAAATAACATACTAAAGTGCAGTATACGATCTTACATGGCCGTGTTACCGTCACAATGTCCCGCATTCGTGTGATTTTTATTCTTGCAGTATCTAATCGCGATGATATTACATGTGCAAATTGTTCAGTTTTTTTTACTGGTAGCCACAAGAAACTTATAAGGTACGTATCGTTTCCGTAAGATATCTTGCAGCAATGAGCGAATTGCACTCTGTAAGTGCAATAAAATCTGTCCGACCAGGAAAATGAGAACAGTCTGGGAGACACATCGGAATTTTTGAGGTCGCGAATAAACGAAAAAGCGCATTTACTCAACGAGAACGCCAGCAGTGCAAAGATTAAAAACGATGTTTTTACAGCTCCTTTTTTTATGAGTGTAATAAGCGGAATTTTTCGCGAAAAACTCTATTTGCACTAAAATCATGGTGGCGAAAAGTTGGAAGGAATTCTTGCGATTCCGCTTTACCTTTTGCATGTCGCCCAAGCGAGGAAAACTTTCCCCGCGGGGGTAGTTAAATTTACTTCTTTAGATGTCAGATGGTACGAAAAATGGCGCATCGAGTCGCTACATTTTTGCATATTACGATCGTTCATTTGCGTGTCGCAACATTTGAGTGGAGTGTCCTCATGTCGCGGTACATCCACTCGCGCGTCCATTACAATTTCAGAAAGGTATCCGTTTATATTAACGCGTTACAGTTTACTTTCTAGTTGTTCATTTGCGTCCAGCTTCGACTTTATACGCAATCGGCCTAACTCGCATGGAATGAAAATCCGAGAGAGTAATCGGTATGTGTGTGTGTGACTCGCTTTTCGCGAGCAGGCGGTTGTGATTAATCGGAACTGTTTGAAAAGATTCTATACGCGATTAATACAGTGCAGTGCTGTTCGTGGCAGTGAATATCGAGTTTTTTACTTTTTCCTCGAAAACCGGAGCGTCCAGCTTAGTTAGGATTAAAATGGTAATGGTGCTGGCCATTCATACATGTTTCCGCGCTTGGAAAGGCCTGAAAAAGAAAAAAATTGGAGAGATAAAATTTACCCGTGATACGCAAGAATCAATTCCCTTTTATTGAATACACATAACGCTCACGCCGAGCGTAATGCATATTGAATGTTAAAGCTGACATTCCCCTGCGGAGGCATGCAAAAATTTTATGAATATTCGTGACCTTTGCACCTTGTAACATTTATCTTGTAGCCCTCACATGGCAACACATGTTTAAGCACCTTGATCTGACGCACTGGACCCGTTTTCATCCTCGCGTATTTTCATTCCGCAAAAATATCAATGAAAATTTAGAAAAAATAATAATATTTTCAAGTCTTTTTAATAATACTTTCTAGTCTGCATAGAGTAGAATTATATGCAGAAATGATCGCAAATACTCACTAAAAGTATTTCATTTTATTACAAATACAAAGAGAAACGCGATGAAAACGTGAGTTTAGATAAAACTCTAAACGCATGCGTGCCAAAAATTTGTTTCAGCAAATTTTCGAAAGTCCTTGTACCACCAGCTTGCGGATAATACGAAATTAAAAATCGGATGGGATTGAAAGTGACTGTGTGTCAGATCAGGGTTTGGAGTGATCAATATAAACATCAAGAATGATGAATATAAATGTCAGAATAATCAATATAAAAAGGATAAAGGGTAGCTTTCGTGGTACGAAAAATGTAGATGAGAACATCTGCGATATGCTTGCCACGCGTTTTGTCTCGGCACGTCAAGCACACGGTCGGGGTCTTTTCTCTCGCGAAGTATTTCATTATTCTCCGTAATTTCCGACGGAGCTGGAATTTGCCACCACAACCCGTCATATCCGCCTGCTTCGATAACTATCGTGTGCATTCCTGCTAGTCCATTCGTTTTATCTGCTTCTCCCCCATCTCATTGTTTAACCATATATTATACATTATAAACCATTCTTTTGCTCACCCATTACTGGGATATTATTTATGGTCGATTGGAATTTCTTCGCCAAGTGAGTAAAAGAGAGAACGAGACAGAAAGAAGAGAGAGAGAGAGAGAGAGAGAGAGAGAGAGAGAGAGAAAGTGAGAGGGTAGAGAGAGAGAGTCTTTATCGAAAGTTTATCGATCGTACCGTCTGAACCTTTTTTCTCAGTGGCACACACATTCCGATCTTGACGCAAATACTGTTTTTCATTCCCACGAGATGACTCGTCATCGGTTCGTGCCTCGATTTTCGCGAGAAACATTGAAAAATTCTTCAATATCTTTAAATGCTTCTTGCCGCTGGGGACTCTATCGACGCGTAGAATACACGAGTGGATTGACCATCAGCATACAGAACGGGAATGTGTGTGGATGTCGTTCGCGATATTAATTAAAAATCTGCCTTATGCTTGACGGGCGATTTGAACATGGCATTGCATGAGCGACGCTATATCCGCGTGAAATTTAGACGAGAGTGCTCCTCCAATATTCAGCGCGAATAAAAACGACGATTTCGTGGCGCGATATTTCGGCAGTCGCGAAAAAAACGACGCGCACTCCAGCGTTCATGTGTATTTAGAAGGCTACTAAATACACGTGTTAACTTATATCCAAATAAAGAGAGGAAATGCCGTGAAACAGCCGTCCGCAAGTAAGTGGAATATATTCAGGAGGACGTCGCGGACGTTAAAGAAAACAGCGGTTGCTCCTAGCTGCTTTATGCTGACGCGAAGGATGCGCTTTGCATCGCGTGTTGTTCCTTATCATTTAATAAGAATCCTCTCAGGGTGTGCTGGACGACTTTGCGGGCACGTCATGCAAATCAAAAATAAAGGGAGACAGAGAGAAACGGCAGCGGAGGTATTGAAAAGGTTAACACTAAGAAAAAAGTGTTTGCTACTTTTGTAATTATATTCACACAAGAAAATAATTGCTATAAATTATGATAAAGAAACCATGTTTTTATATATATTAAACTCTATTTTATAATGTTAGCGATAATAACTTTGTATACATGTTACTACTATCGTTTTTGTCTTAGAACAATCAAAATATATATCTGAGTGAAAATAACTATAATTTTAGTTAGATCAACTTTCTTCTCTCAATATAGAGGATATATATATTTATTACTTCAGCTTACATGCCAGGAAGGAAAGACGACTTTTTAATGAACGCAATTTTAAAGCAATTTTAGTGAGCGCACAGAATTACGCTCAAAACACGTTCTCATTTCGACGACATCGTTCGGCGTTATAAGTTAAGTACGTGCGCGGAATTTCAGGTTCTCTTTAAACTGCCTTTTCGAATTACCGTTACTCAGCCCCGCCGTGAAGAAGTGGAAACAGCGCGGTAATTTACTTAATTCGGTGCGCCAAGGGGAAATCCATTTTCTGGCCCGGTCAATAATAATATACTGATGTACAGTCGTCGGCGGTTGGCTGAAAAAAAGGCCAGCGCGAAGATAAGAAAAGAGCCGGTTTAAACGATCAGATTAATCGCGACACATATATTATTCTTCTTCCTTTTTTATTAGTCGCGAGTTAATTGCATTACGATGTTCCCGTTCACGCCGTTGTCCTTTCCCGTATCCGTCAATGTGTCTCTATCAGATAAATGGAGGAGACAGACAAAAGCGTTACAAATTGCAATTTGATTTGTTTCCAATTTGACAATATCACCGTGCGTTCGAGTGAAATTGTAACTGGTCCATCCATTCACGTAAATACACGTACAAAAAAAGACTTCATTTCGGGTAACTGAATGGGGACTAAATGAAAAACAAGAAGTAATATATTTGTTATTGTGACCGAAAATATTTGTTATTGTGACCGAAAGTATTTGTTACATTGACCGAAAATATTTGTCTGGTTGTTCAGCTGCATTAAAAATCGCTCAAATGACTGAGAGCAGTTGGCTGAGTAGGAACCTCTTACAGGAATTCTTTTGTTCCTACAAGCGAGTTCTTCACCTGATCCCCAAGTAGCAGAAAATTCGGTTACACTAACGGAGTTGTTTTTGTGGAAACCTTGATTTTTCGAGGTGCGTAATTTGTAACTCATTATTCTTTTGTAACCGATTTATGCAAACATACCGACATGCTTCATTAAATATCGTAGCATATCAATTTTAATTATAATGCGTAGCGTACAAATATGCTGTGTGGAATGCAGTTTGCGGTTGAAATAGGCCAAATTCATCGACACGAAACTAATTTATGATGAAATAAATTGAAATTCCGGAAATCATTACTAATACATGTTTTTAAGTAAACAATTATTCATTGTCACACATTTGTCATTATTTATAGCTAATATTCAACACACTCTCCACTCTTTATATTCACTCCGGTCTCCATTTATTCGCAATTATGCAACTTGTATCGCGAATATTACGCGTGTCGTGTATATTTAATTTCGCATCGCTTCGCCGGGTTATTATGCAAAGTGCATATTATGTACGATTAATAAATTATTAATGAATAATCGATGTCGCGTTACGCGATTTTATTGCTGTATAACTGTAAAATGCTTAAATACCATAACATATTAAACATTGCGGTGTAAATATTGAAAATATGCCACTCGATATCGCCACTTTGCCTCTGTTATTTGTCTATTATCGTATTTCAGCTTTATTATCGTCTCTACAAAAACGCGATAATAAATGCTATATATGTAATTTTTTAATACTTTTACCAAATATCTATCACTAACGCAGGAAGATAAGATAACACGGAAAAAACAATTCCGTTGATGCAGCCGAATTTTCAGCCATTTTTCTCAGGGATCAGACGAAAACTCGATTGTAAGAACGGAAAAATTCCTTTATGAGACTTCTATATAGTCAATTGTTCTCAGTTGCCTCAACCGAGTTCTAATATCGCTGAATGTTCAGACGAATATTTTTGGTTGCGAACGGAAATATTAGTTTTCATAACGAAGATATCGTTTCTAATCACTTAATTTTCAGTTGGTTTCTATTCGGTTACACCAACTAAAAATTTTTTTCCGTGTCGACAAGTGTCGATGTATATATTTGGCGCGTAATTTTGTGTCATTTTGTCTTGTAATAACTAAAATGCAAACATGCAGCAACATAGCCACTTTGCAAAATAAAGAAGGCTTCTTACAAAATATATATTCTGGTTAGTAGTTCCAGGATTCTCATGAGAGGTTTTCACAGCTCTCCTGCCGGCCCTTAATTTATCTCGCCAACTTTATCTTGTCCTCCCATATGCTCGATTTCAACTATTTTATGAATGAAAATTTCCTTTATTATCCGAAAATATATCATACATTTGCAGGAAACTTCATTGTAGCTAATAACACGTTACTTAACTTTATTCACTCATGATGATAAATATTAATATAAAATTTCGAGAATCTCGAAAATTTACTTTGTTATTACTGAATCATTTTTTTCTATTTTATAACTGTAATATTTCGATTTTAATAAAACTCAGGCAAAGGTATTCATATTCTAAAAGGATTATTTCGCGATTTTGTATCCATTGTTCTTCTCAAGATAGATGCTCTAAAACGAGTACATACCTCTGGAGCAATCTAGACCCGGTCTCTCCTACTTCGGGATACAACTTCTTCGTATTTTTAGTGCACAGTGTTTTCCCAGTTTTGCCTTATTCTCACGTTCTGTTTGACTTTCCTCATCCAATTTTAGCAAAGTTTGCGCGCGCGCGTTTGTCTCTTCCCGATGTGATCCATTTCCATATTTCGGTGAAACGTCGTTGTTAGGCAGTTTGACCCGTGTATCTATAGACCGTAGAAAGTTTCGCAAACTTTCGTCAATCACTCTCACATGTCTGTTCTTTACTTCCATCCGCATTCATACCTCTCCGCAAGCGCTCATTGTGATTTGTAATCCGCGCACTCTCGTCTCCCGTCGATCCGCAGGACTCGCATCCCGACACGATTGATCGTTCTCGTGGTATGGAGTCCTCTTAGAGAGTCGTCACGATGGCTCAAGCCGGCGTGCACACTGGCAAGCAAAAATCATCATCTATGGACCGAGGGTGAACGGAGAATGGAGAATCAAACGGCTGATTACCATGGGGACGTTTACCAATGGAACCATACGGTATCGGCGGATGAGGGAGGTGCGAAGACGGAATATTACCTGCCCAATTGGACCGATCTTGTCCTGGCGGGATTATTCACGATGCTGATTATCGTTACTATAGTAAGCGGTCACTCGTCGTGCAATATTCGAAGCACTGTCTAAAACACTTTTTCATTCGTCTCAAGCCACTCGTTTTAACTCTTTGAGGCCCAGCCATCGATCTCGTTCGAGTAAAATTCTTTTCCTCATGAATACTCTCAAATGATGAAGAGTTTTGTGCTCCAGATAAAATTGAGAAGTACGATTTTCTGGGTGTATATTATGATGCATATTCATGTTTGTGTGCCTACAGAACTTAATAATTTTATAATCATGATTATGAACACAAAAGCGTCAACCTTGTATCTTAAGGTGACATCGATCAAACAAATGGAGAAAATAAAATTTTATATTTTCTGATGGAAAACTTTACACGATTTCGAATGTCAACGATTTTGCTGCGCATATATAATCGTTATATTGATATCTTCATATTGATATCTTTATATTGATATATAATCGCTATGTTGATTTCTTCAACAAGTAAATTAATCTCACGAATCGAGACGAATCGAAAAATATAACGTGCTATCCATGATGGATAGATAGTGTTATATTGGCAGAATTATTACTTCGCCAATACAAAACATTTGAGCAGGAAGTGAATGTACACGATTATGTACACTGGGCCTTGAAGAGTTAATCCACAATGCACTTATACATTATTTATTGCAATATACTCAATATCTCGATAACATGAAAATCACTTTCTATTAGATGGTAAACTTAGTTCCTGCGGCTCACAGTTAGATGACGTTAGTTGTAGGTATAATTTATTTTGACATCTGAAACTGGCTGCATTTTAGAGGTTAGACATTTATCAATAAAATTCAGTGCGAAGAGATTCATTTAAGCGAGCAGTGCTATTTTTTCTTTTGATTAAATATGGAACGTGATAAGTTGTTTTTTCGACATGTGCTACTTCATTACTTTAACTTGAAAAAAACTGCAGCTGCAGCTCATAAATTGCTTTTCGAAGCTTATGGCAATTATGCTCCATCGGAAAGAACATGCCAAGTGTGGTTTCAGCGATTTAAGAGTGGTGATTTTGATGTCAACGATAAAGAACGCTCAGGCCAACCGAAAAAGTTTGAAGACACCGATTTGCAGGCATTATTGGACGAAAACTCTACTCAAACGCTCCAAGAATTGTCTGCAGCATTAAATGTTACTCCGATGGCTGTTTCCAAACGTCTACATGCAATGGGAAAAATTCAAAAGGAGGGAAAATGGGTACCACACGAATTAACCGCAAATGCCATTGCGAATCGCTTAAACATCTCTATTTCTCTGCTCGCCAGGCAGAAAAAGAAGAGTTTTTTGTGGCGCATAGTGACTGGCGATGAAAAATGGATATACTTCGATAATCCTAAACGAAGAAAATCATGGGTAGACCCTGGCCAACCATCGACATCCACACCAAAGAGAAATATTCATGGCCACAAAGCAATGCTTTGTATTTGGTGGGATATGCACAGCGTCGTTTATTATGAGCTACTCAGACTTAACGAAAGTATCACGGGGGATCGATATCAATCACAATTAAACCGTCTGAATGAAGCATTGTTGGAAAAAAGGCCAGCAGTAGCCAGCAATCGACGTAAAGTCATGCTTTTGCACGACAACGCTCGACCACACGTTGCCAAAGCCGTCAAAGAAACACTGATGCAGCTCGAGTGGGAAGTTCTCCCGCACCCAGCGTATTCACCAGACTTAGCTCCTTCGGACTATTACTTGTTCCGGTCGATGCAGCACGGCTTGGTGGATACACACTTCAGAAATTACGAGGATGTGCGAAAATGGATCGACGAATGGATTGCATCAAAAGACCAATCGTTCTATCGTCGCGGAATCTACGCGTTGCCCGAAAGATGGGAAAAATGTATAGCTAGCGAGGGAAAATACTTCGATTAATGTATTTTTTGCTTTTGATGTCGAAATAAATGAGTTTTTTAAACAAAAAAACCGCAGGAACTAAGTTTACCACCTAATAATTAAGATTCCTGGGTATTCGCTTCGGAATTCTGGATTGATAATGTCAGAAGCGAAGGAACGCATCCAAAATTCTTGCGTGCTATTTCCAAATAAAAGGATATTATATGATCGTTTAAGCATACTTGTAAAATGCTCCATAAACTATTCCCCTAACAATCAATAAATAGCTGCCAAATTAACGTGATACGCAACCTTCCTCTTAACCTACCTTCTCTTGTGAATTTGTTACGTTTATTTTACTATTTATATTATTATTAACTATCAAGGGAAAGGGAGAGTTCCTGGAATATTTTACAAGTACGCTCCTGTGATCTACAATGTTCTTTCATACAAATATCTTTTTATTTAAAAACGACACGCAAAAATTTTCAGCTATCATATTCCTCATTTCTAACTTCACAATCTAACATGGCTGTAGCGAATACTCATGAGCCTTAAAATACCACGCATGCGTATTTAATGAGCGCAATGTTTTAATCACGGTTGTTTGAACTGTCACGGGAGCGCGAGTTTACAACGATTATGAGCTCTTTCTCGTAATGTTACAGGTCGGCAATACTCTAGTGATTGCGGCTGTAATTACCACCAGGCGATTACGGTCCGTGACTAATTGTTTTGTGTCTAGCCTAGCTGCGGCGGATTTACTAGTCGGTCTAGCGGTGATGCCACCGGCGGTGTTGTTACAGGTATACGCGACGTTTACCACTCGGGATTCAATATGCAGCTGACAGACACATGCGAGATATCTTTAGTTCGGATGTTATGACGCGAACTCTACGCGAGCTGTCGCGATGAGATCTTATTTAATTATCGCAATCGGCGCGCATCATCCACGAAACAAATTGTGCGCGCGGCACGTCACCGTAACGTTGCTCGCGGCGGCATTTCATTAACGTTGGCATTTAATAATTGCCTCGCGAGTAAACACGTACAGCATCGCAGATTCCTGCCCGACACTATCCGCATGTAACGTGAAACAGCAATTAGCCGGAACAACAATTACGACACTCGCGGTACTCACCTTCGCATGTTCGCGCTTTAAAAAACAAAAGTGCAACGTCCATTTCTTTGGTGTTTCATTGCGGAATTCTTCGAATTTGCTGTTTTACGTTTAGTCCGTTTTGTGACGGACAGGTTTTTAGAGCAGTTAGACAAAATAACGTTTTGCAACAGCTACATGGAGAGAGTATATATATTATAGAGTATATATATTATAGTTTCTTTCTATATATATACATAAATTTTCCCAATTTTACTATGTTTTTAATAGTACAGAAAGACTGTCAGTAAAGCCGGGATCAGACTATGCATTGGAGATTGAGATTGCGTTGAGATTGCAGATTGAAGATTGGATTTTGACCAATCAGAATACAGAAAGCAAAGATTGAGATTAAAGATTGGAATTAGAGTTCTTTTTTTTTAATCTACAATCGCAATATTAGCCAATGCCTTAGCGATTTTTTGACCGCGTGATAGATCCGTTTTTGGCTGCGTCCCGAAATTCACTGAAATTCTATAGTATATGTAATATAAACTCTAAATTTTCATTACTGGCAATGAATTTCGGAACGCAGCCTTTACAGACGAGGATTTTTGAAAGTTCAGAGAAAGCAAGAGAGGTTAAATTTCGTACAATATAACGAAATTTATTTACAATTACATAATACACGTAAAGAATCAATCATATTAAGAATCACTGAGATCTCACTAAGCTAAATTATTTTCTGAACGTAACCATATTATTAATTGCAATACAGATCGCAATCATACAGTGTGATTGAACAATCTTTAATTTTCAGTCTTTAATCTCAATCTCCAATGCGTAGTCTGATTCCGGCTTAAATATATTTTGTCAAGGAATACAGACTATTTCTCTGGAAACATAGCAAATGTTTTTATAGTATATTTTAGTTTCTGAAATATAACACATATGAAATAAAAGCACAAACAATTACTGCAGAATGTCAATTTATTCCTCGGTTACAAAATCTCATAGTAATTTTTACTATAAAATTCTGCTTAAAATGTTTAGTTAATCTGTTATGTGTAACAAATCCATTGTGTTCAATAATATATTTTGTTTCGTTAATATATTACGTAGTGTCTTAATATATCATGTTCCAATAATTATATTTAATTAACAGTGTAACTAATATCTTAACGATCGAAGAACGAAATTTACAGTCAAAATATAGTTGAAGAAGTCGAAGGAACGGACGTTGGCACTTTCTTTTCTCTCGAGTACGAGCATTGACTTCTTTCGTCCTCGTAAAAATGTAGCACCTCGAAAATCGAATATCCCTTGATGAAGCTTACAGGAGGGACTTGGGAGTTGGGCGAGATACTGTGCGATTCTTGGGTCTCCCTCGACATTCTACTCTGCACGGCCAGTATTCTCTCGTTATGCGCCATATCTATAGACAGGTAAAGCGGATCATACGCATTTTCGCATCACGTCACGTAGATCTAAACGGGACTATCGGCGAGCGTTGCGCTCGTCGTTCTGCTTCTCGCAAATAGATTTCCTCGTCATTAAAAAAGAAAATTTACGCGACGAGGAAACCTCCAACGCCGGGATTTAACGAGCTCCTGCGCACGTCAGGAAAAAGGAAAGAAAAACGAAACGAAACGAAATGATGGCGGGCGCGAGTAAATTTTCCGGCCTGTAGGAAGTTTGCTTAAACGATAAAGTATTTTATTTTGTTGACTCATCGCTATAATCAGACAGGCGTATATTGCTCACTGGAAGCTGTTGCTATCTTATCTATCGTAGATATTTTTTCTTGCGGCTTCTCACAGCCCTTGCGTGTACGTGCGATAAACTGTAAATTCGCAAAACGCACACGACACTCGAAATCTCGAGTGTTATCAACGAGCTATAGGGTTATCTTAATTCCGATTATAGACTAACAAGATACGGCGCGCTGGAACTTGAGTACACGTTAAATTACATTGAATTAATTACACAGGAAAATATTTTACCTCTAAGAAAAGCGATTACTCAGTTTACTTTCCTTCTTTGAAGCAATAATTAGCTCCAACTTTCAATTTTTTCTCGGTAATGATCTTTAAATACTCATCACAAATTTTTTTAGAAAAGCTCACAGTCATGTATTTAAAAGAAAAATGTATTCCCTTTACGATAATATGGGAAACCTTCGTCGAAGGAAAAGTTAATTTGTCTCGGCTGAGCAAGCAAACCGAGCTTTTATTTTACTTCTAATATTCTTGATGCAAAACTTGCTAGGATTCGGGATGTATTTTGAAAAAATTTGACGTTTATGATGATACAATGTGATAGATTTGCGGATAGGAAACATGAAACAACATAAAATATTTGAAATAAGCATCATTTACTTAAGTGCAGCGTGTATTTTTCCATATATATATTTCCGTGTGCATCTTCGTTCAAGGTATCTGGCCGTGACTCAGCCGCTGATATACAGCCGTCGACGTAGGAGTAAAAGACTGGCCGGGCTGATGATCGTCGCGGTATGGGTTCTGGCTGGGGCCATTACGAGCCCGCCCTTGCTGGGCTGCTTCCCGCGCGCGACGAACCGCGATATCAAAAAGTGCTCCTACAACATGGACTCCTCGTACGTGATATTCTCGGCGATGGGTAGCTTCTTCCTGCCGATGCTGGTGATGCTGTACGTGTATGGCAGGATTTCGTGCGTCATCGCGAGCAGGCATAGGAATCTGGAGACCAGCGAGGCGGAGAATGTCCGAGCACGTCGTAAAATCACGGTGAGAGAAACATTTGACTCGAAGTCTCTGCTTGGAGATGCAATCGAGGAAGGAAGGTGTCGTTGCATGCGACGAAGCGACGCGGCTTTCGCCGTTTTATGTTGTATATTTCTCGTTATGTGACACGGCGTTTATTGGGTACTTACCTCGCTGTGTGATTCAACGACATCGTCGAACTGCCATTGGCACTGTCGTATCACGATCGTTATCGGAGTTAAGAAGCTTCTTCAGTTGAAGCGAGACTTTGACGTGACCCTGATCCTTCGACACTAAAATTTCTCGCTTAAAATCTCCCCAAGGCAATTCGTTTTTTCTTTCTCTTGCGAAATATGATATTAATGGCAAGTTGTTGGAATTTCACTCGATGAGAATTCTCGATTTGATATTTGAGGCTTTCGAGAATTCTCGAGTTTACGGTAAACACATTCCATGCGCGGAAATTTGCGTGCACAGCCGATTTATATTCCAAGGCGCCGAGGAATCGAGAAGAGAGCTTCCGCGAAAATTTTTCCGCGAGACGACTTTCCGCCGGGCGAAGCCTTTTCTGGACGGCGTTCGTTCTACAAACGGAACACGACGACCGTCCATTCCTGTAATTAACTTTTGAAACGACACCGTCGCGCGCACAGAAACAGCTGGAAAAAAGGAGGAGCAAAGGAAAGAGATCATTACAACGTGTATAATCAGCAGAACCGATGCGGCGGTCGCGCGCAACGACCAACGTCGCGGTGGTCAAATGCAAATATCATAACCATTTGCTCCGAATACAAAAGAAGCGCTTCCAATCGTGAAGGGAACGCTGCAAAAATCAAGGATTAATCCTGCTTTTAATGCGAAACGTATCACGGATTTGTTCGACGGCGCGCGTTGACTGAAGATAACGAAACCGTTCGCGTACTTTCATTCAGCGGGAGATTAAGGAGACCGACGGCTCTCTCACGGGCGCCGACGTCGTAACAGAAGGGACGTGGATTAAATTTGCATTATCCAACCTTACGTAACTAATACGTTATTAATCATGTCGCGCAGCGCGTCTTACACACGTCTCCCTTGTCGGAATATAATTTAGTTACGTAACAATACGTGCACAACTTCGCAGCGAACAGACATCTCCAAGGCCCGTACCAATAGTCCTTATTTGAGATTTGTTTCACATGAAATACTCAAATCTGAATTTCAAGTTATACTAGACCTCCTCGTTTGAATCATGCAATATTCGTGACTAGAGTTATGAAAATATCAACCGAAAATTTTTCCCCGTTCAATAACTGACTTGAACAAATATGTTTTAGTGCAAACTGATTGTCGACCGATTTGAGCAAAATTAATCGTCAGTCGAACGATGATTTTTGTTGAAAACAATTAATTGGTTCCTAGCCAAATTTTCTCATATTAATCAATTAAACAAAATAATTAATCCAAAAAGTAATTAATTACTCGCCACCCTGTTCGTTAAATTTGTAATTGCGGTTTAATTGAAAAACTCGCATCTCGAAATTCAGATTTAGATACCTCACTTGAGACAAGCTTCAAGTGATGACTATTAATACAAACTTAAGAGTATCGTCGCTTTAACAGGATGGAAATGAAAAGATGACGATCAAAGGAAAGGATATGGCACTATAGCAGTAGAGGAAAAACATATCGGAACTTAATTCAATCGGATGATTCGCGAGTCTCACCTTCGGCGCGTCCGTTACATAAAAATGCGCGCACGAAATGACATCGTGCGTTTGTCTCGCAGATTGAACGTAGCAAGAGTGTTCGGACGCAACGAACGGATTACGTCGAGAGCAACATGACTTGCGAGAGACCGTCCGAGGAGGCCGAGCCGACGAGCATGTGCAGAAAGTTGGGCACAATTCGCGGTAATCAGCAGAGCTGTATCAACAGGGTCGCTAGGGAGACGAAAACTGCGGGTACCTTGGCGGTGGTCGTGGGCGGTTTCGTCGCGTGCTGGTTGCCATTTTTCATTCTGTACTTGGCGACACCGTTCGTACCTATGGAGCCCCCGGACATCCTCATGCCCGCTTTAACCTGGCTAGGTAGGTGGAGAGGATGGGCGGTCGTTAGGCACCCTCCGTCCTCGGACTCCTCGACAAATCTGGGAGTCGATTTGGCTCCCGGACAAAATCTGGCCTCAGACGGTATCTGTCACGGCGATTTCTTTCTCTCACAATTTCCTTTTCGGAAACGGCGCTTTTCAATCAAGATTGTTCTCAGCGATAAAAGACTCTCAGACGAAAATAAAGAAAGAAGGAAAAACGGGACGGTGAGAGCCGACAGCGGGGGTGAGTAGTTTCGGGACACCGTATAATGGGATGTTTATTATTTAGGGTGGATTAACTCGGCCATCAATCCGTTTATCTACGCCTTCTATTCGGCAGACTTCCGCCTCGCTTTCTGGCGACTAACATGTCGGAAATGTTTCAAGAGCAGGCTGAACTTGGACGGCACGAATCGGAAATTACCCATTCCGGTTAACTGGAAAAAAGACGCGTCGAGGACGTAAAGAGATCCCTGCGCATGAATTCCGAACTTGCTTAATTACGTAGCGACTGAAATTAGAAGGGCGATGGGTGGGGGGGATGGGTGTCGATCGCATCGAATTTTATGTTTACTCGCAACCGCCGTACATTGTCAAAGAATGACACGTACGAGAAACGCATCTATTCTGTATATGTGTACGCTGGTAGCCAATCAATCGATTATTATTACGCCGTTTTATATGATACATAAAAATTTCACTACGCACAATACGGCGGAATACGTGTATAACTCTACTCTCGAGAATTGCATGATTAATTATTCTCTTTAGGTACAACGTCGCGCACAACGATCGACCCGATTGGTCACCGTAGTCTCGTTTGAATGTTCGTTAGCTTTCAGATATTTTCGCTCACGCTCGATCGAGTCAGACTTCTACCGAGGCTTCTTGCAAAATTCCACAATTTTATTTAAACAGATTCTGCCGGAGCAACGTTTATTCATTTTCACTCTAATAACTTCACTTCGTCCTGTCGCTTTGCGTACAAGAAGGTGTATCTGTGTTGATTTTATTGAAAGGTTCGCCGGTATATCGTCGAGTAGAAATTTAGAATTTACGCATTTACGAATCCCGCAAATGCTAATTTATATCTCCAAATAATGCTCCTTGGGTTGCAAATCCTCGCATAAATCTGCCTCCTTTTCATTTTTATTTTGCAGAGTTATCGCAACGAATACAAATCCAAATCTCCATTGCTGTATTCCGTTCACACATCTGTGCTATCTTTGCCCTCGGTATTCCTTCCTTTTCCCGTATTTCTCTGTATTTCAAGTTCGACAGAATATACAGGGTTAATGTAGAATCGAAATCTCGACTTGGGCAATCGATAAAAGACGAACGAACTTTCTGTACGTCTAACTTTTTGCCTTTAACAACATTGAAATAAAAAAGGCAACTTTTGTTACATAATGTAAAATAATTACATAATGTAAAATAATTCCATCAACTAATACAAATTAATTTCTCTCTTTACCTCTTTGTATGTACGGCGTGATAAATTTAAGGGTAAAATACCGCTTAAGAAAGAATTTTGCAATTTACGCAAATACGTACGGTAAAAAATTATACATATTTTTCATGTGTATAACGTAGCTCGTCAACACATAAAAATTCTTTTGACACTACGCCACGTAACTACTTTATTAACGTATCCACATTTAAATATAAATGTATGTGCGTTTTAGTGCAAATGTACTCGGAGCATGTAGCAGATTCTCCCTATCAAAACAGAGATTATGACGTAAAGATAAAAAATTTACGCGAATGTAGTGTATAACCATGTTTAATCTCTCTTATGAGATAAGTAATGTATAATAGATTATATAATAAGATGTATGACTGATGCCTAATCTGTGATCAATATCGATGTAATCATTGTCACATTCATTCGTGACATTTGTATACGACGAATAAAAATTGAAATGTTTCCTGTTTAATCGCCGTATCATTGTACGCGTACATCTAATTTCTCTCTCTCTCTCTCTCTCTCTCTCTCTCTCTCTCTCTCTCTCTCTCTCTCTTTTTGCATTTACGTAAAACATTTTTACATGTATATTTTATATTTGACATTCCGAGGAAAACTTGCTATATGCATCGAATACTTCTTATCGCTACTTTTTACTAGCTCTTCCGCATCAGAAATGTATAATATATAATTTTAATTTAATAATTTATATTTATTTATTCGTAGACACAGTTTGTATATAGAATATAACAGCGAAACATCATATATATTAAATCATGTGAATTTATCAATGTAAAGGTAGAGAATGAGAAATCATAAATTATATATATCATTTAGAATGAAGCTGGTTAATATTTGCGGTTGTCAATTGCAAATATTTACCAGTTTTAATTAAGAGAATTTTATTATTTTAGGGAAATATTAACGACTAAAAACATATGTTAAATTAATTATAGATATTAGTTAATCGAGAGATTTGGAAGAAATTTCATAATCAATTGTTAAAGACTGTAGATATTCTACGTAACAAATTTTGCTAAAAAGCAAAAAACCGATATATCATTTCTTTTATTTCTCAGTATTTTTAATAATTCTGTGCATATAATTAATACTCTGTGTCAGTTATATATCTTCGCAGAAGACAAAATGCATAGCTAATCTATCTGAAACTTTAATATAGTTCCGTGCGCGCGTGCGATTTCAGTATTATAAATGGAATAATTTATTTCTATGCTAATTCTATATACTTGATCAATTAACGTGAACTTGTACAGAATATTGGATAAATTAGAGAGATCTTATACTCTCTCTATGATTCGTATTCATAAATAAACTTGTATATATTATACAATGTATACTATTCCTAATTATCCGAAAAAGCTTAAGATATCCTAGAATTATCCTAGATATGTATTCAGAACATTTTACCTTCTTATTTACAGAATATCCAGGACGATGTTCAAGATGATTTCAGCACGCGTTGTGCTATGTGAGATATTTAGATGTAAATTCTTAAAATTATCTTTAGGTGAACATTTGTATATGGAAGATATCGCAACAGTTATTTTAATTTATGTGTGGAGATAATCAATAAAAGCATATGCTTCATACGTAATAATGTGTAACTGGGAGAATTAATTTCGCTTCATATTCAAACATAGTGCTAATATTAATATAAATTAAAATCGAGAGTAATCGCCCTAACAGCACAGATGCCCACACTGAGGGAAAAATTATCTTAAAATCAACAAATATTTCTTTGATGGCTATTAACATATTTACTTAAATCTAAATTCTTTTTATTTAAATCAAATATTATTTACTTGATTTAAGTAAACAATATTTTGTTTAAATAAAGAAAATTTAGATTTAAATAAATATGTTAATGGCATCTATCAAAGAAATATTTGTTGATTTTAAGGTAATTTTTCCCTCAGTGCAGGAGACGTCCAGAATACGTCCTGAGAACATCCTAGAGACGTTTCTACGTCCTGAGGACATCTCTGGGACGTCCCCAGGAGATCTTATGCTGTATGGGCGGTTAATTTGTAACAATATTTTCATAATTTTTACTAAATTATTAATAATAATATTTAATAGAATTTAGACAGAATGCAAACAGACTTACAATTCGAGCTTGAATAAGCAGGATTCAAGTTTTAATAAAGTTACTCGTTACTTAGACCCGTTACGTCAAAATTAGGCCCTTTAATTGCGGCTTCATTAGTTCCGAAGTCTCCGTTACGAGCCGCCACTTTCTTTAACGACGAATTGAGATATAATACTTGAGAGAATCCTAAGAGCGGATATATGACGTAAGATTTCTTGGAATGTGCTTTTTTCAACCTGCTGTCTGAAGCAGTACGAATATAAAAAACTCATTAAATACTCCAAAGAGAAGAATAAAAGGATTTAGGGGCTGATTTGAAATGATCTTCATATGTAAAACGTTAGCTTTAATCGATACGTATAAGTCGATACATTAAAATATATATTTCAACGTCCACAGAAAATAGGCGCCATTCTTGACCAACAACAAATCGTAAAAATTTACATCCAGTTTAAAACAATTTATAACTAGTTACAACAGCGTTTGCAATTAATTTAGCCGAAACTAATATGAGTTCTAGTTCCGACTTTGCATTTACAAAAATATGTCATGAGAAAGAAAGTAATAAATAATAAAAAGTAACACAATTA